TTTTTTTTTTTGTATGATCTAGTAGAATGAAAAATGTTGAGTGGATGAGAGATCATTTACGGTAGGCTGAACATAACGTGGAACTGTTTTAAAAAAAGTATTCCAAGCCAGTTCTATAAAAGGAAATCTTTGTAGTTTGTTTTAGCGTCGAGGGTGGCCAAAAAAATAAATGCAAAAGGCGCCATTTTTGATTACGATTGCATTAAATTTTTTGCTCAGAACAAATTATTCGTATTGTAAAGTAGTGACAAAAAGCCGTCATTGATGTTGCTGGACTTCCAAAATTTGCTCTTTCCAACTGTCACTTTTCAGTTTCTTTAAAGTTGTCGCTCACATTGACAAAAAACTGGCGACGCTACTGCAGTTAAGCATATTCATTCGCAAACATGCCTTTTTAAGTCGTTAACACCGACCTTCAGGTTTTGTATATATATGTATGGAGCTCTCGATCCTACTTGATTCATCTGTGGTAGTTTCAAACTCTGTTTGTGCATTTGCTTGCTAACTTCCTAACGGTCTAATAATATGGTTTTTTCTTCTATCTTATGCTTTTTCATAACGCTGGCTTATTAGTGGCAGGCTATGTAATAGATAGTGACTACATCTTGTAACCGTATCTTTAGGGGTTCAGAAGGTCCATATCCCCTCTTCATGTAATAACCCTCCCTCACATGGTTTTCGTATTTCTTGGCCACTTTTTGGTCTGCGGGAAAACATATGCAATCCTAGCGTTTTAGCTGGATAGATAGGACTTATTAATATACGGCATGCTGTTAGGAAAGGCTTCCGAAAACAGCCATATTTTGCCACGAAATCTTTCATTGCATCCAAGGCCTTCCAAGGCCCTTTTTTTTTTATTCGAACTCATTGAACTGAAGCAAGTAACAGTTGTAAAACTACCCTGAATACATCTTTAGATCATTTTTGGACAGTGCTTTTACTTAAAACCTTTCTTTTTAAAAGTTGTTTAACCATCAGCAGTGATACACAACAGAAGTATCCCCAGGACGGCAGAAATTAGATTCTGAAGAAATTGAAGTCATCATACATTTACAGGACGTAGTTGCTATCAGTTACCGCATCTCTACTGAAAGGACGGTCTCGTGAAACGCCATAAAGGTTGAGAGAAAAATCAAGCACCAGAGTGTTAGACAATTAGCAAGAAGTACACAGATAAGCCTCAAACCATTACGGACAATTCAGCAAGTATATAAGGACCTCACACTAAAAAAATGAAGATAGGTTAATAGGAAAAAAAAAAGCATATTTGGGGATGAGTGCGCTTAACTACAATAACGTCAAGTTGGCTAGGTAAATATTACTTAATTTTGTTGTTTCTTCTAGATGCCCAACGAATTGATAACATTACAGTTTGGACAATGTGGTAATCAAATAGGTAGTGCGTTTTGGCACGCTTTATGTGCTGAACATGCCATAGCTCCAGATGGCACTCTAGCTCATGACGACAAAGGCGTCCGTGATTTGAAAAGAGTGTTCTTCTCTCAGGTGATTAATCCCGCAATTTTCTCGCATTTATTTCGTCTTGTTTCACATTGTTTACTGCCAGATTACAGTGTGATTTTATGCTTTTCTGTAAAAGAAAAGTGTAGTTTAAAATCTTTTGTTATAGGCAGACGATTCGCATTATGTTCCTCGCGCTGTCCTGGTTGACTTAGAGCCCAGAGTAATAAGTGGCATCTTGAATTCTGATTATAACAGACTTTACAATGTCGAAAATATATTTCACTCAAAAGACGGTGGCGGTGCTGGCAATAACTGGGCAAGTGGCTATATACAGGGAAGGTGAAGTATTGTTAATCAAATTGTAGTTGCAGACTGTGTATGGCAAATTAACTAAGGAGTTTTAGAGGAATTTTCAAGTAATAATTGCCTCGAAGGTTATGACCTAACCTGGCGTAAACAGTCAAATTTTTTAAAGATTTTAGAGCGTTTCAGTCGTACTGCTGGTTCTCACTCAAAGTTTTTTTAGAGAAGCTCACGAGACTCTGTTTGACATGATCGATCGGGAGGCGGAAAATAGTGATTATTTGGAAGGATTTGTTATGTGCCATTCGATTGCTGGAGGAACCGGATCTGGAATGGGCTCGTATGCTCTAGAAAAAATATGTGACAGGTTTGGACGCTCGATATCACAATCACTTCTGTTGTTAACTGTTTAGCAAAATATTTGGTTGTATTTCGGCCAACTTTGGAAAGGGGTTCTGACATGCGCACTACTTTTTCATAGTTCCTGAAGAAAGACTGAATCCCAAGTGTTTTTAGATACCCCAAAAAATTGGTCCAGACTTACTCAGTATTTCCAGTGAATCGCAAAGAAGAAGCAAGTGATGTAGTAGTGCAACCTTACAACTCAGTTCTTACTCTCTCTCGGTTAATCCAGTTCCCAAATTGCGTTGTTGTTTTGGACAATACTGCTTTACATAGAATTGCAGCCGAGAATGCTCCAACATCATCTGATGTTTCTTCCTTCGCATTTGTCAACTCATATGTATGTTCATTTCATTTCGCCAGAATGTTTTTAGGTATGATGATTGTAAGGAAGTTTTATTAAAACGATGTAGTCATTAAACTGATGCTTAATGCGGTAAGCTGTTTAAGTTGTCGTTGCATTTTGATAGAAGGCTAGGCGATTGCGTAACGTTAAATGCGAAAAAGATGTTAGCCGATTGGTTAGTAAAAGAAGTACCTAATCTTAGGTGTCCCGTATTATGTGTTCTTCGACCGCTGCTCTTCGTTTTCCTGGTCCCTTGTATACTCGACTGTTGCACCTCATTGGTCCACTCATCGCGTTTCCTCCCATGAGGTTCATTCAAACAGGTTGGTGTTTTGTTTTTTGAAAGACCGCAGTTCAAAAAAATTGCTTGTTTGAACCGAAAGATTTTTTTCAGGTTTTACACCTCTCAGAGAAGGCAACCCGTGCTCAACTACTACGTCTGTTGGTAACGTGTTGCGGCGTCTGCTTCAACCAAAGAATATGATGAGCAGTGCAGTAATGGAAAAGGATGTAGATCACTGTTTGCTATCTGCTCTAGCTATTTTGCAGGGGAGCATTGACGCTTCTGAAATTTATTCAACTCTAGGAAGGATAAAAGAGAGGAAGGAGCTAAAGTAATTGACGGTTTCTCTAATAGACATTCAGTGACGAAGCTGGTTAGCAGGCTTATGCGTCTGATTGCAGGTTTGCTCCGTGGAGTTGGGGATCTTTAGATATTACGCAGTGTAGGAGATCACCGTTCTTGCCCTTAACAAATCGGGTGTCGGGACTTATGCTTTGCAACCACACGAACATTGCGAGCATATTTCAAGACACAATCAACCAGTATGAGAAACTTATAAGAAAGCGAGCATATTTGGAACAGTATCTTAAGGTGATGATGAGTTTTTGGTAAATTTTGGTCTCAAATTTTTATAAAGTGTTTCAGTCTAATAGTTTTTTTGCTCAGAAGCTGACATTTTGTTTTTGAAGGTGGATGCTGACATCGTGGAGACGCTCCATGAGGCTGCTGAACAAGTGCGTGAGACAATTAAGACATATCGAGATGCTACTCTACCTGACTTCTTGTCCTTACATTAAAGCAAGACGACTTTGATTCTGACTGTGCATCTGTATTGTTTTCTATATTTGGGTCTAACCTTTGTCTGGTTTCTCATTTCTTCGTCTTGTACTTGTCTTTAGAGTTCACTTTCGTTATGCCAAAGCAGCCTCATTTTGCTCTGTTTGTAAATTTTGATATTTGTTACTACAAGTGTTTCTTTGAATGTTAGTCAAGGTTTGAAGACGGGTGCCCCAAGTCTTTTGAAAAAGTATTTCCAGAATTGATTTTGTAATAATTGGACTACTCTTTTTGGACAAACGAATTTGTAAACTTACAATTTTTTTTTGAAGTTCTACTATACAGTGATTTAGATAAAAAACCTGATTATATTTTTGGTGTTGACGAATAACCTCAGCTTTTTTTGGGAGGGAGATACAATTTCTATACAGTTCGCTTCTGTTAACTTTTAAGGAGACAAGCGAAGGACGTCGAGAAGGAGGCTTGAAGATTAAAAGTACATTGGGATGGGGACTGAAGCAAGTATTGGTGCTTACGGACAGTTTTTTCAAGTTTAGTTGTTTGAATTTAGTTGAAGTCTAGTTGTAGATTATAGCTCTCAGCATATAGGGCAGCGGCTGAAGTTTTTTGAAT